TTAGTTATTAGAAAAATTCTTTGTAATTTGTATAGTTTCAAAAATTCTAATAAAGTATTAGTGTAACTGCTTAAGTTAAAAAAAAAAAATTTTTAATTAATATAACAAACTGCTTCTAAATATTTGCAAAAGTAATTAAAAGATATTAAACTATAAATTTAATTTAAAGAATATATATATACAAGAAGTTTAATAAAAATTATTAACAAAATTGTGAAAATTAAAAAAATAAATATTAGAAATTGAGTTTTTAATAGTAAAACTGCTAATTTCTATAAACCAAATTAATGATTCAAGTTAGGCTAAAGACAAAATTTTAAAATTTTAATTCTATAATTTAAAAATAAAAACTAAAATTAAATAAAAAGTTTTATATAAATTTAGATTGCAGATAATTTGTCTAAGTCTTTAATCTTAATATTTTATAAATTTTTTTTGTATATTCTATTTGTAAAAAGTTTAACTAAGTTTTAATAAAGATAAAGGCATGACCTTATTTTTAATATTAAAAAAAAATAAAAAAAAAGCTTTATAAAAAGTTTTATAATAAAATGCAAAAATAGATTAGAAATTCTTAGAATAAAATCAATTCTGTAAAGAAAAAGTACTTTGTATAACAATAGCATCATAGAAGATTAAGCTATACAATAGTATTGTACAAGTAAGTTTTCAGAAAACAAGATAACATCAGCATTATTATATTCAACTTTCAAGTATTTGATTAAAAAGTAATATGATAAACTAAAACTAAAGTGATAAATAATACAGTATATGTAAAGAAGATCTGTATTAAAAGATTAATCTAATTAAAATTAAAGCATTTTAAGTAAATATTCTTAAAATACTTAACAAATATTTTTAAAAATAATTATATATTACAATTTAGATAATAAACACTATATATATATAATAAGTTAAGGTTTTTAGACCTTTTTGCAACATCAAGCTAATAGTATATTAGTATGTAATTAATAATATATTTACAAAAAAACTTGTAAGAAGTATGTATAATTATGGCATAAACTAAACTAACTATAAAAATACAACTAAAAAAATATGTGATAACCTGCAAATTGATAATTTAAATCTTAATAAGTTTAACAATATTAACAAAATATCAAAAAGTATATAAGACTGTATATTAAATTAGTAATAATAAAAACAAAAAACTATAAAAGTTAACTAATTTAAAAAAAAAAATTACAGTATATAGTAAACAGATAGGTTGCTATTAAGCTAAAAATAAAAATATATATAATTAAAGTATCTGCATAGTGTATAACACTATGCAGAACCAGCATGATTATGTTTAATATATAAATTTGGACTATTTGAAAGTTATTGATAATGGATTTTAATACTCAATAAACAAATAAAACTTGAAAATATAATATAATTATAGTATAGTAAATACTATATGTTCAAATATTATCTTTTAGATAATCTAATGAAAAATTTTGATATTAAATCATACTAATATATATTATTTGAGAAATTTAGATATGCTATAATAATATTTACCAAATAGTTTAGTTATTTGTTAAATACAATTATCTCGAACTAATAAATAATATGATTAATTTATCTTTTTGTTAACTTATTAATATAATTTTTTTTGTATACTTATTTTACTAATTACTATATTATTTATTCTATTTAATTTTAAACTTCAAATACAAGAAGTAAAGTAATTGTTTTGTTTTAAAATAAGTATACAAAAGTTATCTTATATAGATGCAAAAGATATATTAGCTATATTCTAAATAGTTGACTATAAACAAAATTTTGCAAAAAAGTATAATCTGCTACTTAAGCAGCTGATTATACTTTACTGCAAAATTTTGTTTATATGCAGCTATTCTATATATAACTATTATATGCTAGACTGCTAACTATTTGTTATTCAGTTATAAAGTTTAATATTCAGCTTTTGAACAGTTTAAAACTAAAATTTGAAATAATAAATTTCATATAATAAATAATTTTGTATAAATAATTTATATTGTTAGTTATTTTATATCCTAGAATTGATTTTCATCTTATATTTTGCTATTATTAATAACTATTACTAGAGTACTTCATTTCACTAGTTCTATCTACTCTTGTTAGTTTGTTCTATATGTTTAATATATTGTTATGCTTTTATCACTAGCAATCTGTAAATCATAAACAAGAAGAAACATATCTGAGAGATTATGTTTGTAACATTGGTAATTAAGTAATCCATCATTGTAAAATTTTTTTTTTATACTACACATCAGGTGTAGAATTAACTTTGAATTAGCTAGGCTTCTTTCTGTTTAACTTATAGTGCTTAACAATGAAGCTCAAGAATAAGTTCTTTTTTAAGTAACTTTTACCAAAACTATTTTGTTGTATATAGTTACTAGACAATCATTACATATTAATTGAGTATATAATTACCTATTTATATGCATTAGACCTTCTTTATTTTATGAAATCCTTCAACTTAAACTATTATATTATGTATTTGTTATCATTTATCATTATAGATTACAAATAATTACAAATAATAATAAAATTAATTATAATAATTTAATTAACTTATTATGATCTCAGTGTTTATCTTAAATGATTGTTATCTCAATTAATAAATATAATTATTATAATAATGTCTGAATAAGCAAAGCATGTTAGCCATAACACTTTTTTAAAATAGAAAAAAATATAGGCAACCAAAAAGTTAAATGAAACTATCTCTCATATATTTTATATGATCATATTAGTACAAAATAATTTATAATCTTTTTAGTAGTTTAGTATTACTGATTGAAATATATAATGAAGACTACAAAAATATATATATAAATGTAAATATAATGTTACTTTAAATATTTAAAAACAAATTAGATTGTAATAATACAAATATAATATAATTATATATAATAAATAGTAATGCAAAAAGCTAATAAAATATAAGTTACAATTATATATTATAAATAAATAAATAAATAGTAATTTTTAAAAAGAATAAATTAAATTCATTACTTTTTACAAAAAAGAAAACAAAGTAAAGATTGAATTATTATAAAAATCCAAGTTAAGTAAAGTTTTTTAATTATTTATATTATTTTATTTTTAATATTCTTAATTAATCTTTTTAATTTTGAATATCAAATATGTAAAAAAATCTACTATCAAAAAAAAATTTAATCTAAGTTACAAACTATTATTTTTATATTCATTTCTTGATCTTCATATATTAGACTTAAATAACAACTTTATATAAAATCAATATTACAAACCTTGAATCTTCAAACTACTTTCAATAAAAATTTGATTCAAATAATTTTGTAAAATATTAAGTTAAATTTTATAAAAATATTTATCAAAATATAAAAAACAATTTATTATATATTATAAAAAAATTGATAATAAGGATAATGATCCTAGTATAATAGTTAAATTATCATTTTTTAAATAGCAAGTCTAAGATTCAAATTCTATTAACAATAAAATTTGAAAATTATATCTGTATAATAACAACAACTGTCTTCTGTTGATCAGTTATCCTCATATGATTGTAATTCAGGTACACCAAGTCAGGTTCTATCAATATTAAGAGCTTAAAGCATCTATATGAAGTGCAATATTACACATATATAAAGAAATATATAACTGATATTGTATAAGACTTCAGTACAAATCTATAATAAAACTACCAAGTATAAAAAACTATGGAACTAAGATAACAAAATCTATTTAAAAATTTCTGAATAAAGAAATAATATAAACTTTCAATAATACTATCAAACTAGTTGAAGTTTATGAAACATTTTTATAAGAACAAATCATTAAATTGAATACCAAATATGTATAAAGAAACATATAACCAATCAGGCTACCAGACTCATTAAGAAAAAAAATATAGAAGTATATCATACTGAATCATCTAGATTGGTAGTTTGATCAGAGATCATCAGTTCTAAGTTGCAACTAGTAAAAAATGATGAAAAAAAAACCAAAAAGATAGATACTAAGGTTCTAATGAACTTTACAAAAATAGAAATAGTGTAACATAATAATTAAACAAGTAATCATTGTAACTGTAAGTGTTAAGTAACTATAATACATTACATAAACTAAGTCAGTATGTATAGAATATAAACACTTTAGTAAGTTTTCTGTCAAGGATAAAGTAATCCTAAAGGTACTGATCAGCATTGAGAACTTGGATGAGTGTAACCTTGAAGATGTTCTCATAATACAAGATGGATTGTATATGCAGAAGGTTTAAATAGACAAAACCCCTAGCTGGTTTGCAGGTATGACATCTAGTTTAGAACTTATATAACAGTGTATAAGTGAACTACTTAAATTAGACACCAAAAGTGCACGCGTGACTAGTTGTAACCTCCAATGTAAGGAAGCCCCTGGAGGCAACCCGTGTCCTATATACTTGAATAAAAATGTCGCATCCCGAAGAGAAGGACTTTAACACAAAAAAAAAATTGATAATATTATAAAAAATTTTTAAATATTTAAACCTACATATATGCTTCAATTACTTGTTCTTTATATATTACTTCAAGAATGCTAGTATAGAAAAAAAATACAAAACAAACCGGTTTTTATGAATTAGATCACTAAATACGTTGCACTAAACGGAAACGAAATTGTTTTTTAATCGATCTACATTTTGTCTATCGATTTCCGGTAATTTACTGTAAGGGTATGCGTACTTAAGCATTTTATTCGAATTCCAAACTTAAATTGAAAATTTTATTATTTGAGATTCAATTTATATTTTAGATGTTAAAAACTTTCTTTTTATAATTATTTTTCGCTTTATTGTGCATATATTTAATACAACTATTATACCTACTGTAACATATCATTTTATTAATATATCCTGCTTAATCGCCAAATCCCTCCTAAATTCTTAAATTGAAAATAAAAATAGCATTGGTTTAACAAATTTAATTAATTTTACACTATTGACTGAAAAAAAAGAAAATATATATGATTTTTGTTATTATCCAAAATAGAGTAGGAATCCCGACTTCCAAACCAAAATTATGTAGTAATGCCATAATTCAAAAACAGATTAGATTTCAACCTTATGCGTTTCGTCATCGCCGGCACTACTTGCATTACTTTGTTCCACGTGATCACTGCCATTACTGCTAACATTCAGGGTTTCACCATCAACAAGATCTTCTTTCTTTTTCAGATGATCGGTCAAATACTTGTTCATTGTGAAGCTATGAATTCTATCTTGTTTGAAAATGGTTTTTAAATTATCATCACAAACAATGAATCGTTTGTCATTTGGGTCTTGAAGATTATTTTCTTTGATATATGCCCACAGACGTTTAACAACTTCGAGACGAGAAAGCTAAATGTGATATAAAAAAAAAACAAGAAAACACATGAATACAATCAATCTAAATTTAGCAAAAATTACATAATTCGATGCTCACCTCTTCAGCATGCAAGAATTCGGACAATACAGGACTCAACACCAATGGTTTATGAATTCCGGTAACACCCTTTTTTTTCTTTTTTCCTTCACCCTCATCATCATCATCGTCAACATTTCTTTTTCGTTTATTTGACAGTTTCTTCTTTTTAGATGTAGATTTTGATTTTTTACTTACACCATTCAATTCTTCTTCGAACTTTCTCTCATATTCGTCATCAGATAAAAATTCGGTGGATTGAGAACTTTTTGGTTTTCTACCTCGCTTCTTTTTTCTTTGTGGCTTATATTCATCCTCCAGGGACGAATAATCGGATGTATCTTCGGATTTTACGGATACCTTGGGTGGTCGAACTTTTTCTTTTACTTTAGACGATTTAGAAGATTTAGATTTAGACGAGGTATGTGGTTTTGCGTCACTGTAATGTTTCTTTTTTTTTTTTTCCACTTTAATATCAGTTTTGAAATCATCACTGCTTGCACTTTCTTCGCCGATTTCCAAATCGTCGAAACATTTTTCAATAAGTTGTTGCACTTCATGTTTTCTGTCTGTAAGGTCAACATTAAAGTCCTCCTCTAACTTCGTTCGAATGTCTCTAGCAGTGATTTCATTAGGATCTGAATTCCTAAGTATAGATTTAATAGTTGGAATGAATGTTGATATATTAACATCGGTCATTTCGTCAATCCACTAATTCCTAAATCCAAATCTTGGTAGAGAATAAGGTGACGCAAGCTTTTATTAAATGTTATGTATTGTTAATGAGTCGACCAGGAATACCGCCAAGAAAGGTTAAAATAAAAAAATTCAGATCTAATCAATTTTTTAAAATGACAAAGGGCGATCAACTAAGCGGCTTTCTTTCTGAGAGAAAAAAAATCTTTATATGCAATTTGTATTGTCATTATGTCATAAGCCACCGCAATTGAAAAATTTAACTTTATCGTATATCGTACTACCACCAGCTCAATATATAAACGAGTAAAACGCTGATTTACGGCGGAAGGCCCAAATCTGGTTAATCTCTAAATAGATTTGGAGTAACACGTGACAAGTTCGTTTTACAAAAACTTTTTTTTATAAAAATAGGATTTCGTTATTCAAATATATATATATACACCATTACTATCTTATTCTCCTTAAGACAAATGGTCACATTAACTATATTAATTAAACATTACACCATTCTAAGAATATTCACACCATCAAAATAGGACTTATAGAAGCATTATTGTTTCTTAGCTTTGGAGTGTGATTTGCTGGAATGACCATCGCTGACATTATATTTTGCAGATTCTCGTGACACATAAGTTATCATTTTAACAAACCAATATACATTTAAGCAATTCAACATGACATTAGCCGTTCCGTAGAGAACACATAAAAATGTTGGTATTTGCGAAACTACAGGCAAGACGGCAACTAATAAATAAATGGATAAATAAATGAAAAAAATAAATAAATATAAATGTACGTATATGAATGAAAATGAAAACAAATACAGTATAACTCATGATATCGATAAACACTTACGATATACTTGGTAAGACATGTAAGATCCATATATAATTCTTACAAAGAAGAAGGATGAAAGCAGACAAACACCATTTATTTTATGCGGTAAAGTTCCGCCTAAACCAAGTTTATCCTAGGTAAAATAAATCCAAAAGTTTATCTAAAAATATTTTATAAAATAGAATTGCTACGAAGTATCGGTATATTTACCATAAACCAATGCATATTCAGAAAAGGAGTGGAAATCTCATACATTAAAAATACCGGTCCGTAATAATTCAGGAATGGTCGCTTCATAACGAAAAAAAAAGATCAAGTTAATACAAGATTCGAGACAGGTTTTATAATTATAATTATTTAAATTATAATATTCCAACTTACAAAAGCAAATATGAACACACCAAAACAGCATAACCCATGTAATGCAAATCCAAAGCCAAATTCCTTGACATAGTAAAGAGACATAAGTGTGTCCCAAAGGAAATAACTGGTTAAAAGGAATAAATCATTAATAAAAGTGGAATGATAGATTTCAAAGTAGCGTTTATACGTTGTTTAGCTCACCCGCAAGCAATGGAGTAAACGTTTCCGGCATAAGCATTATATCCAAAAATTTTGTCTTTTTCTAACTCTTCTTGATAAAATATTGGAAATGACAGGAAGATCACGGTTAAGCAATGAACCATACTAACCCAATGTATATCCCAACTAAGTCGCTTAATTCTCGGCAGACTGTTATAAGTTTTTGGAAACAGAACGGGAGAAATAAAGCGAGAACTTGCAAGGGTAGCGGTGCATCCTAACGATGAAAGAATGATAACATGCCAATGATAAGCTAGTTTTGGCAGTGAAATAGAATCAAAAAAACTTTCAAAAAGCACTTCAGAAGATGCTGGTTCCATGAAATATATATAATGGAGTAAAGAGATATTGTGATAATAAATGTGTGATTTATTGGGATTATCTGACTTTATATACAGTTATCGCTTTGTATTACATGATTGCGTACTGGAGTTTCTGGGGTAATTGCAGATTGATCAGATGATAAAACACGGAATCTTTTATATATAAAATTCGCGTAAAGTCTTTCATTATCGTTGGGGCAAAAACAATCATTTGGATTACAAACAAATTCAGCAACACAAATTTAGTATAGCTTGTTTTTTAATGCTGACCAAGTAAAACGTGTGCATTTCTAGCATTTGTAATACTTATGTACATGATTAAACATCTGTAAATCTGTTACCAAGAGTCTGGAAATCGCAGCGTGTTTGATATTGTATTTAGCCTCGATCTAACTATTATTAGCCGTTAAATTTAAGAGAGTAGATGTGTATTAAAAATATAGTATAGCAAAATGAATGTTTTAGAATGTTAGAACTCTAGAGCCACTTTTATCATTGCCTAAATTATTTAGGGCGCTGATATTTATCGTTATTAGGCAATTCTTTAGAAGTGGGTTAAAAATTTATTGGAACCATAGAACGAGTTCTGTGGGGAGTATGTCACATGTTACATACAGGCGAGACTGCCACGGACACCATTCACGTGCTTGTGGATACAAATTGACTGGCATTACCAAAACACTCTCACCCTAACATCAACGTTAATGTTAACTTTAATTCTGGCCAATGTTGTGTCCACAAGTCACTTGAAAGTTGTGTATGTCGTGCCAAAAACGTAAAACGCAATGCAAGCAGAATTTCTAAGGGACAATACAGATTCATGCATTAGGATTAGAATTAGTGTTCCGTACGGACCGAATCGGATGAATACTTAAATCTCTTACCGTTACGATAATGCTTTGATAAAAAAAAAAAGTAAGAAATGCATTAATAATGTTGTGTTGGTTTAATAAAGATTCTCAATGACAAGAGTGGTCTTTATAGTCTTTATATTCTTTAAAGCTTTGGGTAGTTTTAATGTTAATAGTAATAACAGATCCAGATTAAATACTATCCGAACGAATCCCTATGTAGATTCGAATTCTCAAGTTCGATGAATTATGAGTTCAAGATGGATCCGCCGAATCCAAATTTCGAATCTATTTTGCGGAACATTAATTAGAATTGACACAATGGTTACCACATAACAGCTTTGGAAATTTTAATATCTATTAGAAGGTGTGACCTCTGCAGATATGAATCACAAAAAAATCGACAGATTCTTGCAGATTTTTTGACTCCAACAATTTTAAAGGATATAGGCATACAAGTGACTCTCGTTATAATGAAGTGATCGGACTGTAAAGTTTTCTTCACTATATCAAAAAATTTTGAGCAAATTCACTATATCAAGAGGTTTTTGTATAAACTGTTCTTCACTATATTTATACTGATTAAAAAATATAACCAATGGAAAATTTAGAATCTTAGAAGTTTTCTATCATTATCACAAAAATCATGATATTATACCTTTTTGCAAAACATTATAAGACTAAACTTTAAAGTTAAGGATTAAATTAAAGTTGAAGATTAGGATTATAAATATTTTTACTTTAAACAAATTTAATAACGATTAAAATTTCAAGTATAAGAATGTTATAACAGTTTAAGTTGCCAATCACTATTAATAAATAGTAACAGTACTAAACAGTTGCTTCTTATTAGCTGTTAGTTAAAAAACAAACTAAATCAAAAACCGGGGGTACCACCAGCCAGGCCGCCAGAATGAACCGGAGGAAAAGGATATCGGACCAATCTCATAGGCAGAAGTTTGTCTGATTGGTTAATAAATTCAATTTAATTTTACATTATTTATACAGTTTAGAGTACTTTTTAAAAAAACAAAAACCAACTATAATAAAGTAAAAAAAAAACCATATAGAAGATTTCATTAGAGCTGTAGGACTCCATAGTCAAAAATAAGATCTAATTCTCGTCCGTTTAAAAAAACTAGCTTAGTAATAAGTTGATATTATCAGGTTTTGAGAAGTTATTACTATATTAACATTTTTAAACAGATGAGAATTTGATCTTTTTTTTAACTATGGAATCCTACAGCTCTAATAAAACCTTCTATATGGTTTTTTTTTACTTTATTATGGTTGGTTTTGTTTTTTTAAAAAGTACTCTAAACTGTATAAATAATATAAAATTAAATTAAATTTATTGGTTGTAGTCCTACTGAGTTATCTGTATTGAAAGTCTGGTAATAATGCAGGATATATTAAAGTATTTAGATATAGTACTAGGGTTCAAGTGAACTTTGTAAGGGCATAGCAGTTTAATAGTTAACTCTAGTTATAAGTATTAATTCTGTCATAACAATATTGAGTTAGCTGTAAAAATAAGTACAGAAGGTTTTAAGATAAAAGCCTCAAAAGAAACAACTAGGATACATCAAACAACAATATATATAAAGATGCACATATTAACCAGATTGTCAGAAACTAACAGAGAAAAAGAATTTTAAAATATCATATTAGGCTATCTAGATTGGTAATTTGAAATGTTTTTTAGGTTTTTCAAGAAATAACTAGAACAAATTGAATAACAATATATTAAGAGCAACATATTGTAATAGAATTTATTTTTTTTCTATATTAGTATATATTTATTTTTAGCTCTATATTATATTTTATAATTTTC